GGTTTCGGTTTCGGTCATAAAAACCAGTTTCGGTCGGACACTAGAGAGAATCTTTAAGGTTTTGCGATGTACTTGCTCTTCTTTTTTTTTTTTTTTAATTTAATAACAAAATTCTATTGGAGAATCAGGGAAAAAGCTTTTGTATGAGAATAAAAAGTAGAAATAACTTACGATATTTCGCCAAACGCTGCGAATGCTTCTCGTAGAGTTTGGGTCTCTATTTCGGGGCTCAGATCTCCGACAAAAATGTGGTGATGTTCTGAAAATAAAAATCATTATTTGTACTACAGTGCTCTCTTCTATAATAATCAATTTATACATATATATATAAATAAAAATTAGTATGTGTGTCCGTATGTTTTACTTTGCAGCCACAACTTCCCAGCGCAGGACATTGGTGTTTCTATGTGGTTGCATGTCGGCGCATGCGTAGGTGTGGGAGACATAGTGGTTAAAGTGGTCGACAACCCAGGGCATTTTTATATTCAGATCAATGTTTTAAAAAAAAGTTTGGATATTACGTTCGGAATTGCTCAGTTTGGTGGGTTCGTGGGGGGATTGCATATAAACCACCGGTCACTAAACACAGAGGTGAGAATGTACTAAAATGGGATATACAGTGGTCGATGACCCTGGGTATTTCTATATTTATATCAGTGTTCTAAAACACGTTTTGTATTTCTTATTAAGTTCGAAATTTCTCCAGGTAGGTGGCTGCGTACGAGTTCGCGAATGGGCCACCAGCCACCAAACACACGGGTTTCGAACAGGTGACAATGTACTAGAATGTTTGCCAATGTATTTAAAATTACAACCACAATTTCTCAGCGCAGGACTCCGATGCCTGTAAGTGGTAGTGGTCATGGAGGGTCCCGTGGTGCACTATGGCGGTTGCAAGTCGGTATATATATAGTGGTTAAAAGTGGTCGATGACCCTGGTTATTTCAATATAGTGTTCTAAAAGATGTTTGGTATCTCCTATCTCAAGTGAAAATCCCCGAGATATAAATGTTCAGTCTCTCAAGAGTTTCTGAAAGCGAGACTCGAGTCTCCGTTTCCCATCGAGTCTCTCTGGTGTTGCTGAGAGACTGCCGAGAAACTGTCAAAAAAAAACTGTTTGGCGTCTATGAACGAGAGATTCGAGTTGCTCATAGAGAGATCCTCATTTCGTATCCAGTCTCTGAACGAGAGACTCGAGTTGCTCATAGAGAGATCCTCATTTCGTATCCAGTCTCTAAACGAGAGACTTGAATCTCTCAATATATGGTGTCTCGATAGACATGGTTAAAATTTTCTAAGTTCAACATATTTCAGAGATCCCAGTCTTTCTACGAGAGACTAGTCTCTCAATTTTTTAGTTTTATTCATTCAGTCTCTCTGAGAGACTCGAATCTCTGAATTAACAATTTTGCTGTTCGAGTCTCTCATACAGAGACTGTGAGATATCCATAAAAACACCTAGGCAACAACTGAGAGACTGTGAAAGACGCTCTCAGAGACGCTGAAAGACTCTGAGAGACTTGGAGACAGAGAAATTTGTCTAGGGTTGAAGTACATGTTTTTTCCAACTACAATGTTAAGTTAGTCTTCCGGTTAGGGTTCCGTAAGTCTGAATAAAAAACGGAACCCGTATAGGATCACTTGGGCGCCTGTCCGTTTTTTTTTTTGTTAGATAATGTTTCCTCTAAATTTACTGCCTTTTCTAATTTCTTACTCAAGAGTTTTCCGAATCAGCTTGCTGTAATTATTAGGAAAAGAAATTCGTTACTCTGTTCTTGATGTTGTTTAAAATGCTTGACAAAATAATTTTTTTTTCTGTTAGTCTCTTAACTAACCTACTTAAAACACTAAAATTGTAGACGTTAAAAAGTTAAAACTTTATCTTGAATTTTTACAATTTAATAACAGGTAAGTTACTGTAGTTTTTATAGAAAGATTAGTGGAAATAGAACTGAAAGAATTTAAGAAGTTTGCTAACGTAAGATACAAAGCACAAAAGGAACTTGCATCGAAGTTTCTACCCAGCGAGAAATAATCAGAAATGAACATCAGGAAACGTCCAGTATGGGAAAGTTAAATTGAAATTTAATTTGAAAAATAAAAACCTATACCTGTCGGCTTATAGCTTATTACAAGCTTAGGCGAACTAAAAAAAAAATGTCGTTTATTTTCTTATTCAAGTTCATCTGGAGAAATCAATAATGTTTCAGCTTACTCCCTTGACGAATAGAAACAGCAATATATATAAAGAGGATTGCAGTCGTAAAGTTGTTTAATAAGACAGAGTAGGTACCGCAAGGGAAAATGGTTCCGAACCAAAAATATTCTACTTAAGAATTCCTAGTTCTTTTATATTCTCTGCAAGTTAGTGCCAGCGATCGGCTTCTTTAACAAAAAACTCGATTTAGACATTATTTTTTGCAACTGGCACATTAGGTAGACTATTAGGAACAAATAATCCTTATATCTCTATCCAAATCACGGAAATTATCTTTATAAGATAATAACAGATCGTGATTAAATTTAAAATATAAAACACTCCAAATATTCTTTTAAAGAATGGATTTTTCTAGCGTATCATCAGTGTTACTCATTCTGATAAGCACATCACACATCAACGTTGAGACCAAATGACTCGCTATTCAATATTCAACCATATTACACTCATACATCCAAATACTAGATCACAGGAAGACCAAAGGGACGCTGTGAAGACGAACCGTTTGTCTAGGTCTTGATCTGGGTAAGCCGCATGTGGCTGTTTGTCCCTTGAGTATGGCTCTGTTGGAAATGACCACTTGTGAGTACTACTTACGGTTAAAATCGCACATAGCATCGTAAAAAAGCTTAGTTAAAGCGCTTCAGGTATCACACGTCGCTGCATACTGATATATAGATTAGTAAAACTACTAAAGGGAAGGAAGGTGTGGAAGATTATGAAAATACCGTGGGTGAAAAAGGTTAAAAATGAGGTTTTGGAATGAGATGGAGAACAAAAGTTGCTGTGGAAGTCAATAACGAAAAGGAGACATAGGCCATCTTCTAACGTAGGGTTGTATCCGCACTCTCGTGCGAATTCGGAAAATTAAATCATCAAATTTAGATAGTTTTTCAACAGTTTAGATATATGCAAATCTTAAAAAAAAAATAACGTACAATGTGTTATATGGTTTTACGGCTCTCAGGGATAGACAAATTGTCCCACAGGTGTTTTTCCGACAGTAGTTGTAATTAGTTGGAAACTACAAAATCGCCTGTACTAAGTACCCGAACAGAAAGCTTATGCATATATGAAGTCCTCATTTAATTAAGTAGAAATTTAATTATCTTCAGTTTTAACAATAACAAACCGTACTGTTGGGTCGGTAGGCTGCTCCTATAATTACGAACGTATTTATACAAAGTTCTACACATGCTTTAAATTCCCTTTTCATTTCAAACTTGATGATAAAGTAATTTTAAGGGTTCGCGGAAACGTAAGGTATTATTATAGAACACATTACCTATGTAGACCGGCAGGTTTCCCTTTTCTTTGATAATTAATGCTTATTGAAATATGTATATTTTTCTTTTTTAACGTGGAAGATTCTTTCAAAATATATTAAAGCGAGTTTGGAATTTCAAAGCACACGCGATTTTTCCGCTGGTTGGGCAAGCCTGGTTCCATTGTATTCGAGTAAGTAGGAACATAGAGAATGAATAAAATTTAAATCACGTATTTGTAAGCCCTTCGAATAGCAAATGCAACTGGCCCAAAAAAGTAGAAAGGAAAAAAGTCAAACAGCCACCACGCTAATTGTAAGCAGTTTTTTAACGTAATTAGTAATCTTAAATAGCTTAAATGGGCTTATGCCTTTGTAGTAATAACGACAATAAACACAGAGTGTACTTTGCAATAAGTTCAATGATCATAATGACCATTTCTTCACATAGCAATTTCTTTAAGTGGAAGAAATATTGTGTACGTAAATATTGAATGCAGCAAACAACTTACTATTTTCCGATGCGGACAATGTTTATAAAGGAAAGGGGAACAGATAATTACAAGAGCAGGTGGAAAGCCTAGTATTTCTACATCATAACTTATATTTGTTGAATTTTAAATATAGTTTTACCTTTTCTTTTACTGAAATGAATATGTTTGTTATTGGTCATTTGAACAGAACTATTTAACTGATAAGGAATACTAAAAACGCACATCTAGTGGCCCTCGCGCCTCGTTATTATTATCATTAACAAAATTTTGTGTCTCCGTCTGGGACATCTCTAATTATTATTATTAGTATTTTGTGATTTGTGTACAGTTTCCTTATAGGTACACGAAATGATATATGTACAAAAATAAGAAAAGTGACTCCATCCCCACGACTTAAGAAAAATTTAATATCGGTGACATTTAATATTGCTATTTTTCGAATAAAGTTCAAAGTTATTTATTTTTTGTATCTCATGTCCGTAATTCCTTGAAAGGCTACGTATCCTACCTGTTCTGAATATATAACGAAAATTTCATAAAGAACAGAATATAATAAAAATTGTTTGTAAAAGGTTGAAACCTTGAATGGTAACATGTGTTTTCAAAAGTTAATGCTACAAAAGCCGGTATGTCAATGCATATATGTATGTACATAAACATATACTAATGCGAAACATATTATATTACAATTTAGATTGAAATGTAGGATGATCTCTCCCCTCCCTTTGAGTTATTATATCCAGATATATTGAAAAGAAGATATTTATTTACAGTTCCAGGTTTTCAGTCGTTTTAAATAATGCCGATAAGATAGAAGTTGCTTAAAAATTAATAGCTTTTTCTAACAATTTACACGAAAGAAAAGAGAAACAAAAAATCCAGAAACTGAGGTAGGGTTTCAGATTACATTCTAGTCATGGCTTAAAATTTAACCTGTTTAAAACTAAAATAGAAAGTTTCACGAAAATTTCTTTGAAGCTGTATATTGAAAAACGATTCCTACAATAACAAAAAAATGATAAAAATTTTTATCACCTGCTTTATCATAGGGTAATCGTTGGCTTTCCTTTGAAGTTAACACCTACACGGATTTCTTGAAACATGAGACTTTTCATAGCAAGAAAGTTTAGTAAAAGATAAAAGGGAATCGTATTTAATAAGTTATGATTATAAAACTTTAAACAAGATTAAAATAGAACACCTTATATTGATTAATTTCAAATTAAACAAGTTTCACTCTAATGAGAAGAGACGAAGCCTTACTGTTACCACAAAACTTGGTA